TTTGATATTTTGAATAACACACTAGACCTGTGCTACATTTGGACCACTGTTTAGCCGTCCTTTAAACAGAGGAATCATCAAGTACAAGTCTGGAGTGTCTCAACTTTAATAAGAACGCTCTTTGCAACCGGCCTGAGTGAAGTAGCAGCTTCTATTCATTTTTGTCCATCTGCCCATCTACTATGGCTTTAAATTAGACCTGGAAGAGAAGTACAATACTGGCGAAAATCTCTGGAGTTCTTCCTCATTATTGTGATGGTTTTCTCTTTTTTAATGTAGTATTGTAAATGGCACTTGTTTTTAACCAAATTATTGGTTAATTTTTATTTTTTATTTTTTTACAAGAGGTCAATGAAATATTGATGGTCAATCTCAGAAGGTCATTTATAATGTTGCACAACTTTATAATATATATATATATATATATATATGAATGTTACTTTTTAAAAGGGATGCGGATGAGATATAGATAAATAATGTTTTTGGTGATTAACAAATGACTTAATAAATTATGTTAATAAATACTAATATTAATTATTAAAATAACATGATATGAAACAAACACATTCAATTTTTATACTATAATAAATATGGCTTTGTTATGTCATTTAAATATTTTTGATGCTGTTGAGAAGGTCAAGACCTCTGAAGTGGGTCAGGCCTACAGACATTTGATGTATTTCATGCTAGATTAATTTCATATTAGATAATAGCTTATTTAATCATTCCTAGAACAATAAACATGGGTCTTGTGTCTCTTTAAAATAGTACCTGAACACCTAATTATACCCTATTCATGCACAGTGCCAAATAGTTTTCATAATGTCATGATATGTATTAGTATGCGTCATTTCGTAAAGGTAAACACTTTTGTGATGTACATAGCACAGAACTGATGCTAAATGCCTTAACGCCAGTGTGGGGGACACACAGCCACAGTGTCTGTAATTGTGCCGTCGTAGACATATTTATTGGTACCTAAACAAATCAGTGTAGTATTAATGTGTGACCATTTATATCTTTAAATTATTGCCGTCGTCATGCTCCAACAAGACTTTGATACTGCTTGAAAGATCTTATACAGTATCGCAACACTGTTGTTATCAACATTATAGCTTAATCAGCTACTGTTTGTAGTTTATGAGTGAATGTCTTAGTGTTCATGCTCTCTGCCAAGAACAAACTACAGAAGGTACTTTATATTAGTACCAAAAGTTCAAGAGAGTTGCTCCCAAATGAACATTTAAAGGCCAAGTGCACTTCTTGTCCGATTGTTATTTAATATTTGAAACTGTTTATGCAGTGTCTTTCAATCAAGGTACATTCACTATATTTATGTGTCTTTAACCCATTCATGTGATGTTTTTTTCTTATGAAAATGCTGACGTTATTATCAGCAGGAACATGGAGCGATAGTTCACCATAGAAGATTTGACTTATATATTTTTAGATTACACATGCTTCGGAAGTATTAAATAGCTCAGTATGATCTCAGAACACACACACAAATGGCCATAGCAGTGTTCTGAGATTATGCTGTAAAATATAAAGTGCCTTAGTTCTGCAAATTCCAGTAAAGAGTGTTGTTCTTAAGTATATAATTGTGAGAAATCTTTCTGTGACGTTTTTGATTGATTCTCTTTTCTTGATTTATTCTGTTCTAATGCAAATGAATTTTTCACAGTCCTCTTTTATGCTAAATAAAAACTTTTAAGTCTAAAAACTGTATTGTGATATGACATACATGAGTTGTACATATTTGTACGTCATATATTCCCACGTATCTTTTTTATAAGAGTGTCATTTATAAGAGATCCGGTTATTAAGACTTTTTCTGTGTTTAATTCTAAGGATAAATCTGCAGAATTGATTTAATAGAAGCAAAATATTTACAAACTGCAGAAATCTATTGCCACAGATTCACTCACTGTTCATTTCAAACATCATTTTCATGATGTGAATCCCTAACAAACCCTCCCTATAATGCGGACTGCTTATTCACCAACAGGACAGGGATATGTGATGGATATTGATGAGGTTATTAAATGTGTTTTCTGTGTTTATGTTGAAAGGGACCCTCTTTGTGAGTCCTTCATTAGGGTTTACTGTGAAGAAGGATTTATATGGACAGTGAGGCATTAAAAACCATACCCATGCTGAATGTCTTCACATGTAAAATAAAAACTGACGACGTTTTCATTGTCTTTGCCATCCATTATATTTTTAATGAAAGTCATTATGCAATATGCCCTGTACAGGTCTGTTTTGAATAAAGTTCTCTTTAGACATTGTTTATTGCTGCATTTTTAAGTTTTACCATTTTGTCTTAAAAATATTAACTTTTCCTTCTGATTAAGCTTTGTGAGAATTCAACAATACAAATTCAGCTATAATACAAGTAAGCTGTTCAGATAGACACGATTTCCAGGGATTTTAGATTTAAAGTGTTTTGTCACAGGAATTCTTTCGGTTTTATGTCTAACAACCTCTGTCAGCTGAGGAGGAGGATGGTGGACGTGTGTGATTGTGATTTAACCCCATGTAGCCTACATTATATCATTAAAACATTTGGGATGAAGTATTATTATTACAATTTACATCACCTATATTTTACATTTTACATTGTGACGGCAAAGCTGAATTTTCAACAACATTACTCCAGTCTTCAGTGTCACATGATCCTTCAGAAATCATTCTAATATTCTGATTTGGTGGTCAAGAAACTTCTTATTTTATCAATGTGCAGCTTAATATTTACAAAACTTACTGACCCCAAACATCTAATAGGCCTACGTGTTACAACACCCAGAACTCAACATGGTAAGTGAAGAAAGAAACAGACCGCAGGCATGAATGAAAAACAAACAGACAGGCTGGACTGAACATTAGTCTCATTACTTTTTACTACTTTTTGTTTGTTTGTTGCCAAGACAGCACTGGAGAGAATGACGCTTGTTCTGCAGGAAGTGTCATCATGGCTCATGTCAGAGGCTAAAACCTCTTACATGCTCGATGTCTCAATGATTTGGCAGTTTACAGCGTGACCGGGAGGAGCTCGGTTGAGATACAAAAGCAGATTATGCAGATTCATTGATTCCGTTCACTGCATGACTGATGAAGCTCCCAGGCGGCTTTTTCAAATGCAGTGCTGCTTATCAGCTACACGTGTTTTATGGGCAGAAGGGGAGCAGAATATGAATAATCATCCACCAGTGTGTCATATATCATTAGATTTGGGGTGGAGGTGTTTATATGGCAAACGTTCAGTTTAATATTATGAATGATAGGCTATAATAACCCATGCAGAGTGCTCACATAATGCTCTTATTCATACAAGACTAGGGTGATGCAAACCGTTTGTGACGTCCAAAAGAGAAGACAATGACCAGGACTCCTTAATGTGATTTACTGAAAAACAGCATGGAAAACGGTTCCTGATCCTGAAGTGGATCATTTGGGAATGCCGCCTCTTTTTAATGAACTCCTTATGGACTAAATTTTCTGTTACATGGATGGGGAAACGATCCCATCAGTCTAATTCCTTTCAATTAAAACAAAAAGGCAAAAAAAAAAATAATTTAAAACTAAATTTCTATCAAGTCATATAGGCTATCTCACAAATCTAAGGATTGTCTGGACTGTCATTTAAATAGGCTTTAGCAACAACACCGATGTCTTAATAATACATCATTTTATCTTAATAATACATCTGATAGATCATACAACTTTTTAGTGGCTACGTGTACGTCTATCAAGTTCATGTACAAGCTCTGGCTTTGCCTATTTAATTATTTTTACATCGCATTTTGGTGTACGAGTGTAATACTGCAATTTTGTCACAAGAGGGCAATGTTGTCATCTCTAAACAGTCTAAAACTACGCCATGAAAAGAGGAAACTGCTTCACAGGCAGTTACGCTTGTTATGTTATGATTTAGTTATTTGGTATAACTTAAGGGCAGCTTGATAATGTTAGATTAATATAATCTTCTGACTTTATCTTACTTTGTGGTGTTAATGTGTAACTTTCTAAATGGCAGACAGACAATATAATTTTACATAATAGCCGTATGGGCAGGTTATGTAACATTTGATTACGATGTACAAACACACATCCATAAATAAATACATACATACATAATTTGGGGTTTGTTTGTGGATTTGAATAGAAAACAATAGGTTAATTATTCGTTAACTTATGAACTAATCTGTAATTTATTATTTATGTTGATGGTGTTAATGTACATCATGATATATTAATAATAATGAATACTTGCTGTTAGATTTGTATTACTGATATTATTGTTGAAAACAGTTTTTGCTTCTTAATGTTTTTGAGAAAATTGTCATACCCAAGTTTTGAATGGCTGTGTAAGTACGATTTTTAAAAAGAGATAAAAGAGCGTGATACTTTTATTCAACAATATAAAGTGACAGTTGTTTAAACTAAGCGTATCTGTTCATCAAAGAATCTTGAGGAGAAAAGGTATCACGGTTTCTACCAAAATATTAAGCAGCAAAAGCTGTTTTCAATGTTAGTAAAAATAAGAAATGTTTCTTGAGCAGCAAATCAGAATATTAGAACGATTTCTGAAGGATCATGTGACTAAAGACTGGAGTAATGATGCAAAAAATTCAGCTTTGTCATCACAGGAATAAATTACATTCTTAAAATATCTTAAAATATAAAATAATAATTTAAAATTTTAATAATATTTTACAATATTGCTGTTTTTACTGTATTTTTTATTAAACATGTAACCTTGGTGAGCACAAGATACTTTTTTTTTTTCAACAACAACAACAACAAATCATAATTATTCTCAACTTTTGACCAGTAGTGTATATTTGTCCACATACAACGTTGAAAAGTGGTCAACAGCAGCAGTTCACGAGGGTTCACGTTTTGCACCGGCTCCTTGGCATACGCATGCCATGCGCACATCAAGCCACTAGAGCACGGACAGAGCAGTAGTGCGCATGCGTGTAATGCACACGCACGGTTCAAGCTTTGTTTGGAAAGTGACGACCAAAACAGTGCAGTAAACGAGTCTGAACCCGATGCGTCACGGCCGACTCTGTTTCTGACAGTTTCACAATCTAATTTAGTATATTTTGTACAAAAGTGTTTTAACATAGTACGATCAAGATGACAGTGACTTTGTTTTTATCAACAAGTAGGTAGCGAATACCGATCATGACCGAAGTGTCAGCTTGTTTGGGTGCAAAGCAGCAGCGGATGCGGGTCGCACACACGGATCCCTCACACCCTGATCTCACCTGTGGCTTTACGGAGCAGTTTTAATCTCTATACGCGATGGAAAGCGTTGGAAAATACGAATTCAGCAGGAAGGACTTGATAGGACACGGCGCTTTTGCTGTGGTATTCAAAGGAAGACATAAACAGGTAACGCTATGATGAGCATTTCGTAATGCTGATGCCTGTTGAGCTGTATACTGTGGCTCGACATGCGAATAATTACTCGACACGAATGCCATAACGCAAATCGATGTCTTCATTCACAGAAACATGATTTTGAAGTGGCGGTGAAATGCATTAACAAGAAAAACCTCGCCAAATCACAGTCGCTACTAGGAAAAGAAATCAGGATATTAAAGGTGAGTTTCCTAGTTACACTCTGGGTGCGTCTGTGTGCGCACAGGTTTGCTTGCTATACATGTTATTTGTTTAATTTTATTTATTTATTAATTAAATATCTTCCGAAAAATAGTAAACATTGCGAAATCCGACTTGCGAGGTCATTTGAGCGGTTCTCGCTATCTGAAAGGCTTCTTTGTGCCAAAACAACGATTAGCTATTGATATAAACAGCGTAAAGGGTTTAGCAAATATCATCACCTCCTTATAGAAGCAATTGCATTTATGACTTCTGCTCGCTAATGTAGTGAATGTGTGTTTTCGCAGGAGCTGAAACATGAGAACATTGTCAGCTTACTAGACTTTCAGGTATGTACCTACTAATTGTATGCTATAACTCGGACGAATTTAAGTTAGTTGTTCGCGGTATATGTGTAAGCCAACTGTGTTATTTTTAAGTGGTTTCTATTCTATTAAAACATAGAGCTTTTTCCATGTTACCAAAGATATTTATAGCTGGAATATGGCATGGCTCAGTGTTGATATTATGGGTGCAGTTCCCGTCATCTGATTGGTTAAATGTTAAGCCCCGCCCCTGACGTCACGCTCTGTGGGCTATTTATCAGCATTTTTAGCCATGGTGAATAGATGTAGTCTATATATGACTCACCATGAGTAATAATTCCATGTTGCATCTCTGTGATTTCAAGCTGGACTCCTTGAGAGGCACAGAAAATTGATCACCTCAAATGTCTCTTGTGGCTAAAGTACTAAAAGTAAACAGGCAAGAAACAATGGCAGCCATGACAGATGTCTGTTGAAGTAAACACCTGACACCTGTGCATGTATTAGCCAGAACCTGGCAGGCAGCCCAGGACTCCCTTTTAACTGCCTGTCTCTATCATTTGCATACAGAACAGACTTGTCTGATGTAGGATACCCTTATCAATGTATCTTAATGAATAGAGGACAGGACTCCGGGCATTCAGGCTGATCTGATGACAGGTGGTTGTCTCAAGTGTGGAGATATTAAGAAACACAACACAGTGTTACAGCTTCGAACCTGCGGTATTGTGCCTTTGAGCAAGTATAACAGGTTTACTTCAGATTGTTTGTACTGTTCAAAATACCAGAAGACAAGATAAAAGAATAATGAATTTTAATCTACTCACATTAAATAACTAATTCTTTTATATTATTACAGTTTGTCCACATTTACAATTTTTCGTCGTCTTCTTCTTATAATTATGTAATTTTGTATATGTATAATAATTTATAATTGTTAATTAAATTAAATGATCATTTAAATATATAAATGAAAGAAGAAAAAAATCTAAATAAAATACTTACGACAAAATATTTTATTTGTTTACCTGTATGTCATTGATCGACAAAAGAGGAGTGAACATATGAATGTGTTGTTAAATTATTGAAATATTAACTTAAAATCTCAGGGGGTGCTTTAAGTAAATATATTATAGGTCAAAGGGGTTCGGCTGACGCAAAAGTTTGGAAATCTCAGATCTAAATTAAGGTACAATTAAAGTAAATTGTTAATGAAATGAATCCTTTTTTTTAAATGTATATTTAGTGTAACAGCATTACTCTACTACACAAGGCATCTAGTCCCAGTTGCTCTTTTAAATTGTAACTTTTGACTGAATTGCAGCTGAATGAACCACACTGCATAGTTAGTCAAACCTCTCACCACATTATCCTTAGAGAATGACCTGACAGTGAATGCACACTAATAATTCGTGCTCACTCCATCATGCTTCAATCACTGTTAGAACCGACACAGGTGCATTTGATACTATACAAGCCTGCAGTTACAGGACTACCCCCTTTAACTGGCTCCAGGATCAGTCTAATTTACATCTGGCCAGCACTTACAGTATTTGACATGAGTTTGTCCACCAGGGTTGATCCGCTGCTCATCAGACAGCTGCCAAGCAGTGGGTTCACCTGACAGAACAATGTGCACAGGTGGCTGGCTGCTGTCCTGCATGAAAGCTGAACAATAGCACAAGAAATGACACTTATGCTTAGTGAAACCCATCCTACACTCATGGAAACCTTTAACTTTGTTCGTTAAGCTTTATGTTGTTGTAGTCTTTTGTTGTTGCGAAAGTCCTTTGTCTTGTATGCTAATGAGTCATAATGTTTTGACAGTCGTCTCCAGGGCCTTGTAAATATGTCTAGAGAAGATAATTTAAGTGTATTTTGCCCTGTGTGGGGTCTATAGCCTTGGGCAGGGCTTTACTTAGTTTACTTTGCATTACTGCTGATGGCCTGGTTTCATTTCTCACGGGTTCAGCAACACACACACACACACACACACACACAAACAGGAAGCTTAACATTAAGCCTTTATCCACAATAATTGTGTCACACTTATAAAATTAGCTGTTACACAACTTTGCAGTCATACAGGGCTGTTACCTTTTATGAACCAAGTTTTTTTTTTTGCTCATGTAATATGCTATTTAAACACACATGCTCACTAATGCATGCTGCTCCCAGCAGTCTGTCATGCCGCCTGGCTGCTGATCTGTATGTCAGTCACCTGTGGGTAATGTCTAGAGAAGATAATTTAAGTGTATTTTGCCCTGTGTGGGGTCTATAGCCTTGGGCAGGGCTTTACTTAGTTTACTTTGCATTACTGCTGATGGCCTGGTTTCATTTCTCACGGGTTCAGCAACACACACACACACACACACACACACAAACAGGAAGCTTAACATTAAGCCTTTATCCACAATAATTGTGTCACACTTATAAAATTAGCTGTTACACAACTTTGCAGTCATACAGGGCTGTTACCTTTTATGAACCAAGTTTTTTTTTTTTGCTCATGTAATATGCTATTTAAACACACATGCTCACTAATGCATGCTGCTCCCAGCAGTCTGTCATGCCGCCTGGCTGCTGATCTGTATGTCAGTCACCTGTGGGTAATGACACCTGCTTCTGTCCTGACTGCGGTAACACGCAGAGCCTGCATGGACATCGGCCAAATGGGACTTTTGTTGCACAACAAGTGGGCCATGTAAATGCCTCATTCAAACTGGTCACCATGGCACTTGGTCTGTGTGCGGACATATTGATCCGCTCCATTAAACCTTTCAGGAGCAGAATTTGTTCAGTATAATTCATGGACATGAAGGGGTAACAAACCACCTGGAATCCGCATTGGGTTTGATTATGCAGGCTAGAAGTCAAAGGGCATTTTGAAATGGTTTCTCCTTGTGACTACTGCACTTTAAGAGTCTGTCAAGCAAAAAGCATTTTTTTGCACTGTGTGCATTTATTTTGTGCACTGATTAGCATAAAAGCATAATATCTTTAGTAGTCTAGACAGAAGCATCTTTAAAACTTGCTTGATATATGGACAGTTGTTTGAAATGCTGCCAAATATATATTATTATTAAATGAACACAGTAGGACATCCACACAATTCATTAATAATAATAATAATAATAATAATAATAATAATAATAGTGATAAGAATTATTAATTATTATATGAATTAAATTATTTGTAATAGTTTTTGAATAAGTATAATATTAGTAATATTTTTATTGTTATTACTTAATACTCATTTTTAATTCATATTATCATATTTATTTTTTTAAAGGTTAATGTAATTAATTTATAGAATTTTTATAAATAATTAATTTATAATTAGTAATAGTAGTAGTAGCAGTAATAATAATAATAATTTGATTATTATATTTTTTGACTTTACATACAGCAGCATATGAATTAAGCAGTCTTATTTTTTAGCTTTGAACACAAAAAAAAACCTACAGCTCTGTTATTTCCTCCTGTGCATTACATTTTCCCTGCCCTACACACCCATCAAAGTTTTCACAAAATAGAAAAATAAATCTTGAAAATTAATAATAATAATAATATAAATAAATACCTCTAACACAAAATTAGAAATTTCTGCACCTGAAAGAGTGCATAAAATATAACCTGTCGTGAAATGCAAGCACATATTGTGATTTGTATTGCATGTGAGCTCACACTATGATAACAGACTATTCATAGAAAGCTTAGGTAATTGTAGGCTTTGTATGATGAGTCAATGTGACTCAGGCATCTGTTGAGAGTCCAGCCCGAGGTCTGTCCTGATCTAGACAGTGAAGAATCCGTGCCATGGCTGTCAGATGGCATGTTGCTGGGTGTTTCTTTCATATAATCAATTGTAAATGTTTAATGGTGTGTCTCATGTCTCTGTGTCTCTGTCTGCAGGAGATATTGGGATGTGTCTATCTTGTCATGGAGGTGAGTCCAGATGGCATGCTGCACCTCTCACACACCCACTGTAAACCTCAAAATAGACTTGGTGTTAAGTAGAGAGAGAGAAACAATCAAAGGTCAAATTTCACCTCCCCTTGCAGGATGTCTTTTATGCTAAGCTTAATTCACACTTCTCTGTTATTATTGTCAGCATAAAGCCATTTGAAGCCCTGGTGTTATTGTGATTACTCTTTCTTTTGATGAGAGTTTGCTTTGTGTTGACTGTGCACTTACAGTGTTTGTCTGTCTCCTCTTACAGTACTGCAATGGAGGAGACCTAGCCGAGTATTTACACTGTAAGTACACTAGCCTCATTTCAGCATGTCATCTGTACTTCACCATTATATGTGCCACTGATTATTACAAATTAGGCAGTTGTTATTACAGATTAGTAAATGGATAACTGTACAAGTGAGGTGTCTAATTTCTCCATGTTATTATACCTGCTTGGTCTATTTCTGTAGACATATTTTAGCACAGTTTTATGTAGAATCTTGGAGCAACAAAGAGACTTCATAACACAACAAAGATTTGAACCTGTATACAGTTGTAGACAAATTGAGATGCATCAAGAATTAAAATACTGGCCTATACTTATCATTTATTATTATTTGATGGTTGATATTAATACTGTATATTATTTTATCTACATAAATAAAAATGTAAATATTAAGAACTAAAACCTAATAAATGCTACAAGTAAATTTAGGCATCACAACATTATGATGTACATTATGAAAAATGGATATTCAATTTTAGATTTGATGAAGATTACATTTAACTGTGTTACTATTTAGTTAAAGGAGACATATTATGCCCCTTTTTACAATATGTAATATAAGTCTCTGGTGTCCCCAGAATGTGTCTGTAAAGTTTCAACTCAAAATACCCCACAGTTCATTTATAATATCGTTTTGAAAATGCCTAGTTTGAGTGGAAGCAGAAACACGCTGTTTTTCGTGCCTGTCTCTTTAAATGCAAATGAGCTGCTGTTCCCCGCCCTCTTTTCCAGAATAGAGCTGCGGCAATTACAGTTTGGACCTGCTAAAAAACATCTGTTTTGGTTCTGATTATCATGTTTATCGCGCTGAAATCATGCGTCTTCAACCATATGACTTTAAACCTCTCATATATGG